AAAAAAAAAAAAAAAAAAAAGAAGGGGGCTGAATCATTATTAACCTGAATATTTTACCTTGCTTATGATGAGAAATTTTAGTAAGACTTAAGAATAAGCATATTTTTTATGGCCTGGTCATACAAAACAGTACAAAATTTCCTTTCCTTTCTTTTTTAGAGACAGAGTCTCACTTTATCGTCCTGGGTAGAGTACCATGGCATCATAGCTCACAGGAACCTCCAACTCCTGGGTTTAGGTGATTCTCTTGCCTCAGCCTCCTGAGTAGCTGGGACTACAGGCGCTGACCACAACGCCCAGCTATTTTTAGAGACGAGATCTGGCTCAGGCTGGTAATAAATTCATAAGAAGAAAGAAAGCTAAACACATAGGTTTAATTGGAAGAATATTTCCATAGCAGAGGCAACGAGGAGAGACAGACACACGGACTCGCGGAAGCTGTTGTTTAATGCGATGGAGCAGCTGAGAAGGCTCCGAGTTCCCAGGGGGAATCGGTGGGAGATTTCACGTACTCCTACTCTGGTCTTTCTTTTACCCAGCCGGTTTAGGCTGTTTTGGTAAATGCTTTTTCTCTATGCAGCACATATTGGTAGTATCACACAAAATATGGTATATCTCAGTTTTTTCGCACTTTGGCCTGCAAACACCTTCCATTCGCCAACATGAAGTAAAGACCTTTCTTATGTACGCGTTAGGTCCGCTTCTCACTGTCAACAGAGACAAAGGAAAACGCCCAGTTAGCGTCACGTCGCCCTAAGTTAGACTGAAAGCGAGACCTTCAAGGGTTTTTTGCTGCTTTGTTGTTGGTGCTGTTTTGTTTTTGAAACAGTGTCTCACTGTCGCCCTGGGTAGAGTGCTGCGACATCATAGCTCACAGCAACCTCAAACTCTTGAGCTCAAGTGATCCTCTTGCCTCAGCCCCCAAGTAGCTGGGACTATAGGCGCCCACCAAATGCCCAGCTAGTTTTTTTCTATTTTTAGTAGAGACAGGGGTCTAGCTAGTGCTCAGGTCAGTGTCAAATTCCTAAGCTCAAGCAGACCACCCGCTTCAGCCTCCCAGAGTGTGGTAAGATCACAGGCGTGAGCCACTAGGCCAAGGGGACCTTCAAGTTTTTAATGGCAAATTGGATATACCCTAAGGCACTCAAGATATTTTATGGCTAAATGCCCTCTTTTCACCTACTCTTACCTGGTTTTCCAGGGCTTTATTATAAGCTATGACATGAATCCACAATGGCAGGAATTACTGATCAGCTGTGTGCTATTTTAACAGGGACCAACAGATTCAGCCTGAAACCATTGGCCATGGAAAGAACATTCAGACACAAGAGCAGTCCCAGGACCCCACTAAGGCCACATACCAGGCGACATGCAAGGCCTAGAGTAACTATTCAAGGCAGTTTGGGATTATCAAAGCATCAGCATGAAGGAAAAAAAAAAAAACAAAGATCACTGAACTGGAATTTTAATTTTGATTAAATACAAGTTTATTGGCTACTGTTTACATGTTGCTGCTGTAAGTACATTAACATACACAGACTCCTAGCATGGACTGCTCATTGTTCACCTCCAACAAACGACAGTCATTGCTTGAGAATTAGGTCTTTGCTTTAGAGATCCAAAAAAAAGAATAGGGGCATAGTATCTCGAAATAGCATTCTCAAGTGACTAGTCGGAGTCAGAAGGCATGATCCATCCAGTCAAGCAGCACCAATTATGCTGTTACTGGGAAGCAAAGAGGAATGAAAAACAGGAGGAGTAGTTAGAAGCAGTTGTTTCTGGTGACAGAAATAGATTCTAGTGATTTTGCCCATCTGGGCTCAGTGGCTGCTTTCAAAAGGGACAAACGAAAAGAAGGGATGTGGGGGTACTATGAGTTAAAATAGCACAAAAGGTAATTATCTATAATATAGATTAGATATAAATGTTCCAGAATTAGTTAAATAAGCTCAAAATTACTGGAAAGTGGCAATTTGAACTATATTTATTTTTAAACAAGTGGGGGGAATACTAAGCGTTTTGAATGTTTGTGCAAAAGTAATGCATGTCACCATCTCACTGTCATCGCAGAGCAAGGTAGATACATTGGTTTCCAGCGTTATAGGCAACACTAGCTGTACATTTTTTTTGAAGACAGAGTCTCGCTTGGTCGCCCTTGGTAGAGGGCGACATCATAGCTCACCTTGTAGCTCACATCAACCTCAGATTCCCGGGCTCAAGCAATTCTCTTGCCTCAGCCTCCCAAGTAGCTGGGACTACAGGCGCCCACCACAACACCTGGCTATTTTTACAGATGGGGTCTCGCTATGGCTAAGGCTGGCCTTGAACCTGTGAGCACAGGCAATCCACCTGCCTCGGCCTCCCAGAGTGTTAGGATTACAGGCATGAGCCACCGTGCCCGGTCTAGCTGTTCAGTCTTTAATGAATAATGTAAACTTTGGTTTTAACACAGCTGGTCCTAATGCTGCCCAGGGGCTTAGCTCAGTGCCCATTTCACAAGTGGGACAGTTAGCCCTTGAAGACAAACTGTGAAGGGGGATGTGGGGGAACCACCAGCATTATTTGAAAAAACACGTCAAAATACTTCCCTTTCATACACACAAAAAAAATATTAGAACATTTAGAAAAACAATGCACCCATCCCGCCAACTTGAGCTTGTTCCTTAACAAATATTTTAAAATTACTGAGAAACAATAGTGACCGTGAGCAGAATTCCTGTGCCAGATCCCATGGCCCCCAGGAAGTCAGCCAACACAGACAGAGCGCCACCAAATGCAGCTGCTATGGGGGTGCACCTGCTAAGCTCATGAACCATAGAGGTGTCACTGTGAACCGGAATTTTAGAAACCTACGATTCCAGTCCTGTGTTCCCCTGATAATTCTATATGGCGTTTTGTCAAGCGCTTCCTTGCAGGGTACTTAAGAGCGTGCCGTGGGATAATGAGTATGACCTGGCTTGAAATCCCTGAAACGTATACCTAAATCTCTTGCTAGTCATTTTCCCAAACCTTAAGACCTAGATGCCTCCAGAAGCCACGGGGTAGAGAAGGAGTAATAGAAAGTCAGGTTAAGAGGTTAAGGGTGTCCCTGAGTCACCCTACTGAATCATCTACTCCTGTACACGGGGCCTTAGCACCCTCTCCACCCAGTTGCCCCTATGAGACTGTGGGTTGGGCCTTTCTGGTGTGAAAATATTCAGTGTAGCATGAACCAAGTCCATCAGGAAGCAAACTCTCCTGCCGGCCGGGTGCTTGCTGGCTCGGGAGCACCTTTCTGAGGACAAAGGAGTCTAGTGGGGAGACAGTGCAAAGTGTCCGGAGGGCCTACCGTCGGGACAGCAGGAGCAGTCTCAACACCATCCTCATCTGTGTCTGCCTTTAAAGCCTTCACACTGGGCCCTTAAGAGATTTATTTTAAATATAAAGGTTCAAACCAAAGGGAGGCGCTTCCTGCAGACCCCCCAAAAGCCCAGGGAGAACAACTGTGAGGACCTCTATGTTAGTGAGTCAAGTGGGCACTTCTCAGCCTTGCCAAGTTGCTGGCTTCTGTCTGGAGGACACATGGGATCCCATTATGCTGTAAGTTAATTTAATGCATCTCAGCAATCAGCCACATTTGCGGATTCTGCTTAGTGTAAAATATGTCGTGGCTTCTAAGTGACTGGAAAATAATGCGGGTGGCCAACTTGGGAAGGCAAGTTCTAAGAGTCTCAGGGACAGCCTCTCAGTCAGCCCCGAGTCCTCCCTGTCCTTAGAAGCTGTTGCCTTTTTGCTCTTCTCCACTCTGCCAACCTTCCTCTCAAGGTTCAGATGCCAAAGACCAAAATCTAGAACCGGTTTCTTCTCTGAAGAGAGCCGTCCCCCACTGCGTGTTCTCAGCATCTTTTCTCCATGCCCTGGAGCAGCCCAGAGAGTCCCTCTTTGCTGACGTCCAAGTCCTGCCTTCTTCTCACACCCTCCTCCCTTCACTGTTCCTAATTCTACAGGGAGGTTTTACCTGGTGGGACACAGGAGAGCAAGACAAGGACCACGAGGACCAAGAGGGCACCCCTCATGGCAATTCCAATCAGCAAAGACACAGCTGAGGTGCACGGTTTAGGCACTGCCTGCAGCTTGGATGGGGCACTGCCTGGCTAGTGAAGCTTTCAGAACAAAATCATCTGCCTGCTCCACTGAGCAGTCCAATCAATGACAGGTCTGTGTGGAAGCAGCATCTCCCCATTCAAGCACACCCTTGTGCCCTACCAGCTGAATTCACATTGCGTGAACAGCCCTATGCTAGGCCCTGGTAGGATGCTGCGTGAGAGCCCCTGGCATCCCCACTGTACACCCATTCCACAAATGCCTACAGCTCACATGACATCAGAAGGCTGCTTTAAGTGGTTGACAAGGCATTGTCAAGAGCTATTTTCCATCTCACATGTGCACACAAAATCCAGGTAGGCATTATTCTCTCCATCTTAAAAGCAAGTAACATGGCTCGGCGCCTGTGGCTCAAGCTGCTAAAGCACAAGCCATATACACCTAAGGTGGCAGGTTTGAATCCAGCCCAGGCCCGCCAAGCAACAATGACGGCTGCAACCAAAAAAAGGCCGGGCGTTGTGGTGGGTGCCTGTGGTCCCAGCTACTTGGGAGGTGGAGACAGGAGACTCGCTTGAGCCCAGGAGTTGGAGGTTGCTGTGAGCTGTGATGCCACGGCACTCTACCCAGGCGGATAGCTTGAGGCTCTGTCTCAAAAAAAAAAAACCAAGGAACATGATTCTCAGATGGAACAAATGACTTTCCCCAAGTTCATATGGACCCTAAACGGGAGCAACAGAAATCACAGGTTTTCCTGACTCTTGCACGCGGAAGAACCAATTCTAGCACAGTGGCAATCTCTGCAGAAAAATGAAAGCTCCCCCAAAGGCTGTGGGGGGATCCTTACAACACCACCAATGGGAACGTGGACACCGCTGAGTCTTCTGACCACCGCCAAGCACGCGCCGGAAGTGTGCAGTACACAGAGAATTTACGACAAAACTCTCCCTTGGAGAGCTGAGAATCAACAGTGCTTGACAGTTTTCAAAGGGTTTTAAGTGTGACAACAACTCTGTCTGAGTTCGTATAAAGAACACAGAACCCAGAATCAGAAAGTCTTTCTGGTCTGGACGCTGCCTGCCCTCCTGTGATGAGCACTTCCTTTGCCTCTCTGACCATCAACTTTCTCTGAGGGGATCAAATCAGGTGATTCTTGTGAAAAGTTCTTTATAAAACATACATCAGAGGGACTGTTAGGCCCATATCACAGGAAGACACTTGAATCTAGAGATGGTAGAGAGGCCACTTCTCCAACCAGACCGAGGAACAGCCAGGATCCGATTACCCCGTTGCTCTGTCCTGAGTTTCGGGCTCTTGTTTTCTAAAATCAACATGTCTGTGATGTGGTTGAGATCACATGCCTATGACAGACTCAGAAAGAACTGTAGAGCAGAAAATCAGTGAGTAGAGAGTGCATAGAGGACATGAGTTTATAGGAGCCCAAAGGGAAAGGACCAAGTGAGCACAAGTGGGGACCCTTGTGAGGACCACTGTCCAACCTGGCACACCGGGTGCAGCCAGACTCATGTTCCTGTGGCCCTGGGCTTCCCTTCTTCGGCAGACCTCACCTCCACTTCCACCTTTTCTGCTGGGCCCACCTGAAGCACGATTCTACCTCTGCATCTCAGCAACGTGCTGGGTCCTTCTCCAAGGACACTGTTAGTGGCTACCCCCCACTCTCCTTCCACCTGGGATCCACCGACAACAGGACAGGCAAGCACCATCTCCCAACCTCCCAGTCGCCTGTGCTGTTTCCAGAACAGTACCTGGGGTGACAGTGCCACCTCCTTGCCCTCTCCCTACCCACACTGAACTCCTCGTCAACTGTCACCCCTTCTGCCTCCCACACACAGCACCTGGTTCTCTTCATGGCCACTTTGCCCGTGTCCCCATCTGTCCCTAAACTAAGTAAATTTTGAAACCATCTCATATCATTTGTAGACAGATACCATTCATAGAAACGGAATCTCCTGCCCGTCCCCTGATCTCAGGAACACTCTACCTCCGTGTCCCCTCCACGCTTCTCCCCCACAGCCGTACCAATCCAACTCTTTAAAGTTTCCCTCTTGGAAACTTATTGCTTGTATCTTATTGCAGGTGTGAGTTGAGCAAGGGACGAGCAAGCTGAGGACCTGCTCACAGGTATAAATAAGGCTGAATATTTGTCACATGTGAGATTTGTGATCAGCATTGCAGAACTGTCCTGTATAGCCCCCACCCCCGTCATTCCCAGGACTCATGGACATAAGGACAGCCTTGTTTGTTACAACTGTGCTAAGACATTTGAGGAAGGAGAAGATACTGAAATGGCCAAAGGAAAGAATCGTGGTCTGTGGACAAGGTGGCAGAAGCCAGGGAAGAATGAAAACCAGCCCTGAGGACTTCTGGGCACCAGTCCCAGTGGCATCAGGCATTCGCTTTTGGAAGCCAGAACTGAGATCTTTCTTCCCTGCGTGTGGCCAAGAATCAGTTCCAAGCCATCTCTTCTCACAGAACGTCCTCAGACCTGGAACGTAATCATATCTTACCAAAGGGAATAAATTGACTCACCAGGTTACACAGCCCCTTCCAGGCAGGCCAGCTTCTTGTTCACTTGGGACAACCAGAACTTCTTTCCCTCTCTGAACTTTCCCAGGTACAGACAGTGATTTCTTTATTAATCTCGTGTCTAAGTGTCTCTTACATGTGACCAAGTTTTGGTGTGAAGGCAGCTCTCAGAACCTGTAGGGTCTCAGAGAGACTAAAATTATAATCTGAACTCTAACTCTGAGTCCCACATGAATATACAGTCAGAGGAACATGGTGAGAGACTGGCGAGTTCTGGATCAGTCCTCGGAGAGCCAGAATTGGGGCCCAGCTTGGTCAGTAACCAGAGGAGTGTGCGTTTATTCCACTGGGCTGAAGTTTGCCCGTTTTTAAGGACTAGGAAGGAGTGTAGGAAGCCATTTCTGCTCTCACCCTTTAACTCCCCTGGGTCTCCCATCAGCTCTGTAGGGCAGAATGAAATGATAGTGCGGCCCCCATCACACACTGCAGCTCAGTGGGCAGGTGTCCCCATCGCCTCCTGGAAATTTTAGGCTCTGGGATCCCCTCCTTAGACATGAGAGGCCACCTCTTTGCACTGACCCTGCTCTGCCTTTTGGCATTAGTGATTCCAACTAAAGGGCTAAGTATCAGACAAGCAGGGCCTTAAAGATACGCCCTAGACCTTCCCCAGGGCTGAACAACTCCAGGAGTTCAGGGCTCCCCTCCCTAGGAGCAGTCTGGACGTGGGAACAAAGATCCCTTAGGAAGAGGCTTCACAGGCGAATGTAGTGATTCATCTTGAACCCACCTGCTCCGTGTTTCTGGCTCCATTGTGAGGCTGGGAGCTCCTGCTCAGAGTCCCCAGCGCTACCCACCGTGCTCCCCAGATCCTAAGCCTCTGAGATTAACCGGAGAAGTTAAGGCAGGGGAGCTCTGGGTGCCGTGGGGGCAGGTCCAGGAGATTTTTACTAGCCTCTAGAAAACAGAATCGCTCCAGTTGTATTTTGGGGAATGTGCTCATTATCACATGAATGTACAGAACATCGTGCTGTCCAAGTGGACAGACATTCAGCAGGGCGCATGACACCAAGGAGAAACCCCAAGGCCAACAGCATGTGATTCTGTTGTTGGAAGATGGGCACCCGGGCAAGCAGGTATTGGAGTCCCCTGGGGAGCCTTGGCAAGGCAAGAACCCTGGAAAACACTCCTGAGAAGGATATTTTTTGAGTATCCATATTTGAATCTTGCCTGACATGTTTCCAATTCAAAAGCTGTGTGTCCTCATATGAATGGTAAAAGATAACTATAGTCCAGAAAGTAGAAGGGAAGACGGGGTGGGGGTGGGGATGTGGGAGGTGGGAGGGTATTTGGGGGGACCTCACCTAATGTGCATGATGCAATGGTACATTTCAATACTATTAAGAAATGAGTATAATTGTGATGGATGTGTTACTTAGTTCTTTTTTTTTTTTTTTTTTTTTTTTTGAGACAGAGCCTCAAGCTCTCCCCCTGGGTAGAGTGCCATGGCATTACAGCTCACAGCAACCTCCAACTCCTGGGCTCAAGCGAGTCTCCTGACTCAGCCTCCCAAGTAGCTGGGACCACAGGCGCCCGCCACAACGCCCGGCTATTTTTTGGTTGCAGCCGTCATTGTTGTTTGGCGGGTCCGGGCTGGGGATTCGAACCCACCACCTTAGGTGTACGTGGCTGGCGCCTTAGCCGGTTGAGCTATAGGCACCGAGCCGTGTTACTTAGTTCAATGTAAGCATTTCACATTGTATATCGAAGCAGTACCCTGAACCCCATAAATGCATCAATGTACAAAGTTATGATTTAATAAAAAAGAATAATAAATTAATTAAAAAGTGTGTGTCTCCCAGAATGACTAGATTTTCACCCGGGCCTGGAAAGTGGAGCTAAGGGAGTGTTGGGGAGAGGAGGAACTTGGCAGAGGGGCCACGTTCTGCAAGCCGTATTGAAGGGGGGGAAATAGTACATCAGCAAAGCCCTGGCTTGCCAAACTCTCCCCTGTTCCTTTTTTAGTCATCTCTCCTCGCACTTCACCCACCAGGGAAAGCAGTCTGGTGAAGACTCAGAGAAGTAAAACTTGAATTACTATATGATCCATCAATTCCACTTCTGGGTTCAGATTCCCCCCCTAAAAAATTAGTATCTCAAAGAGACATCTGCATTCCCACGTTCATTGCATCGTTCCCAGTCACCAAGACAGGGAATCAGCCTAAGTTCCCATCCACAGGTGAATGGATAAAGAAGGCATGGTAAATGTGCAGAATGGAACCGTGGTACGCTTATAAAAGAAAGAAACTGTCATTTATAACATCCAGGATGAACCCGGAGCCATGATGCTAAGTGGAGTAAGATGGACACGACACGACTCACTTTATGTGGAATCTAAAGAGGTCAAACTCACAGAAGCAGAGAGCAAAAGTGGTTCCCAGGGGCCAGAGATGGGGA